TGGTGAAACTGTTGTACAGCTCTCGCGGCTGATCGTAGTTTCGGTCGTCTTTGTCATCGTATCTAAAGACCACATTCTCGGAGCCCTTGTCGGCGGCGACCGTGAAGTTTGATTCCAACATATTTTGATTATCTCTGGCGTCACTAAACGAGTTCGGATAGTAGTTAGGGTGTGAACCCATGTTGTCGTCCGAACGCATCGCACCGTCGCGTTGTGTCGGAGCCATCACTCGATTGCGAGCTTTGTTCACAGGGAGTAAGTGATGGTTTGTTCCCAAACTATCGCAAAAGAAACAAACAAATTAATACAATTTAATCTAAAGTATATAACATTTCTAAATATATCCTAAATAAATGAATTTGCAAATAAATACCGATATCTTTGAGTATCTGCATAGGAAAACATGCGTCCGGCCAACAGTAGGTCGGGTGAGGGCTCTATTCCGGGCACCATATTTGCGGGACAGAAGGCTATCTGTTCGACTTCGGCGAAGAAATTGGCGGGATTTCGGTTCAATGTCATCACTCCTATCTCTAAGAGTGGATATTTGTCTGTCGACCAGATCTGAAGATAAAGTAATGAGCGTTAAAATTGTCGCCGTAGTTAAAGTCGCTACAAAATTAAAGCTAATTTATTATTTTAATTAAAATAATTTCTAAATACAAGCATAGTACTTTAAGAATAAATTATCAAAAGAATTAATATTTAATCTTGTTCAGTTTGGTCGCAATAAATACTTCAATACGCGGCATTTGATACTACATTAGTACACTCTATACTGAGAGGCTATTGTCAATAGCCTATTGAAGTGTTTAACTTTTTGCCTATTATTTCATTAAAACACATTTTCTTCATTTCTATCCTCAAACCTTTGTGGCGTCAAATGGATTGAAATCAAATTTCTTGGCCTCCTGTTCACTGATCACTTGCATCTTCAGAGTCCATGAGGGGTATCTATGGCCGGCAATCGCCTCAAATAGATCCCGTCGGGCATAATCGGGGTCTGTGCCTACAAATGCAATCATTATTATAACTAATTAACTAAATGAACATAATATTCATCGTAATAAAAATATTTGAAAAAACTTTTAAATTCTTTAAATTTATATTTAATAAACAATTTACGTTTTAAGGACTTATAATACAATGTAATTATAAATAATTTAAGCACAAACCTCTTAATTGTGCGGCGGTGTCGACGTCCAGATTTTTAATGCCTTGATTTGTAATCCAGTGAAACTTTGCGAAAACGGGTTTGTTTTGACTGTTGACCAACTTATAGGCGTGAATACTAAAGCCAGGCATATGTCGCCAGCCTTCGGGTATACCGAAATCGCTGTACATATAAGTGATTAAATTTAATGTCTCGGGTCTCAGGGATTGGAAGTCCCAGAGAGCGTTCGGGTCCTTTAGACCAGTCATCGGATTTTTCTTATTGGCGTGAATTACGGACGGAA